ATGGGGGTATTCACTTTCCAGCAGCCTGAGGCACTCCTTTTCATCCCGGCCTAGCCCCTGCTTGTTTACCCTAATCTAAAATGTTGCAGGATCAGATAGCTAATCTCTGGCAACTCCAGGCTCTGTGGTGCCCTCTGATGTGGAGGAGGTGGCCCAGCTCTGGGAGACCATAATGCAGTCAAGACAAGGCATTTGTCATTAACACTGATCTCTGAACTTCCTGTCACCAAGTGTCACATCCTGGAGGAATGGGCACGTAGAATTCACAGCATCGGCAAGCGGATGTCATTCTCTAGTGGAAGTTAACTGGAGCTCACTTTTACTGGTCACTTACTCTCAGCCAATCTCTTTCATCCTTGTAACACCCCTGGAAAGTAGATACTCAATCCCTTTTCTGGGATGAAGATATTGAGGTTAGTGCCACATAGCTGGTGGCAGAACTGGCTGTCTGCCTCCAGAGCCCTCCCTCCTCTTATCCAGGGGCTTCTCTCTCTACCTGTGCATTATTAGCTCTTATTGGGGCTAATCTTAAATTAAAAACACATAGCCGTTGTGGATTCAGTACTGGTTTTAGAAAGCACATACTAAAGAATGCTTCAACGATGTAGCACATGAGTGATAATTTTGTCAAGTAAAAGTGTAAAATGATTTGATTTCTGTAATGCAAGATGGGAGTGTGTGGAGTAGGTGTGCCAGGGGTCATTCCTTACCTGGAGGACCTAGGGATGAGCTCCATGGCCCAGAGTGAGTGAAGGTGGGTAGGCAAGTCTGAGCCTCTCAAGAGTTCTGCAATTCAGATTCCTATACATTTGTGGTGGCTTGGAAAGAAATTATGGCATTATTTCAGGTGTGCTTGGAGGACATGTAAATTTATTTTTTACTAGTCTTTAATTATAATTTCTCTTCAAGTTTTTCTGAGATTAAGAAACTCAGTGTGTTCAGCTGGTTCTAAACTTCCTCTGCTAACAACTCCCCACCTCTCCCCAAACCCATCCCACCTCATCTAAGTCTAGCACCAGCTTTTAGAGAGGGGAAAACCACTGGCGATAAGGTCAGTTGGGGATTTAGGAGGTCATAGGTGTCGGAAATAAAGGTGTAAAAAGGGGGAGAAGGAATTGGTTTTGGTTTTAAGGCACTGGAACTTCCAAGGTTCTTGCAAACCGTTTGCAGCTTTTGCAAACAGCCTTAAGGTCATCAGCGCCCCACTGCGGAATTTAAAGCTAAGCTTGTCATAATTGTTAACACCTTCTTTGACCAATGTTTTATATTTGACAATTATTTTCTTCTACGCCTCTTTTTTGCCGGCAGGAAGGTTCTGCTAACTTGGTTTTAGGGTGTACCCTATACGGCGAATAGCCCCCTCGCGTGCAGAGGTCGGGGGAAGATTTCTACCGACTCGCTCGCCTTGCAGGGTGAGTAGATTTCCAGGCTTAGACAGCGGGGCGCGGGGGAAGGGGACGGAGAGTAACAATTTGGAAGGCACTATGGGTTATATTGCAAGTTAACTGCTTTAGATTCTAGGTTGAGCACAGTGACAGCCTCCATCTGGGGCCCTGGCTCCGGGGAGAGCGCGGAGGAGCTCGGCCTTTAGCCGGGTTGAGGGTATTCAGTTTCCGAGGGCGCAGAGGCTGCGAGCCTCTGCGAACCGAAGGAGCCGCGTGGAATCCGGCGTCCTGCCGAGCGCCGGCCGCATGGAGCTCCCTCCGCCCTAGGCGGGAAGGGGGTGCTCCCTCACGGCCCTTGGGGGAGCCCTCCCACTCTACCCAACTTTCCTGGCCCCTGGGCCGGAGGAGGGCGCCTCTCCCGGCGAGGACGCGCTCGGTACTTAAAGGCGCCTCTGCGGGGCCGGCGCTCGTCAGTCGGAGCGCGCGGCGGCGGCGGTGCGCCCGGGAGCGAGGTACGGCGGAGGCGAGGAGCGGGAGGAGGGGCATGGAGCTGCCGCGGGCCTGCTGAGCACCCGATCGTGGGCGACCGGCGGCACGGTGAGCCCGGGCCCCGCCGGGCGCTTTGGAGGGGCGGGCCGCACGGGGGCTGCGCAGAGGACGCGGGCGCGCGGGGCTCCATGGGTGCCCTGCGGACCCCAACCGGCTCCTCGAGCCGTGCGGGCGCCGCGTCCAGCGCTGGGAGGCGGGCTGAGGGCTGCGGCATCTCTAGGCTTCCCGGCGGCGGGTCCTGCAGCCCCCTCCCCACTGACCCCTCCTCCCTTTCTTCCTCCATCCTCTCCTCCTCCAGCCTCTCCTCCCTTCCTCCCTTGCGGCTCCTGTTTTGTGAATGGATTAGGAGGCGGACGATGGTGCGGGGCACAAGGCTGGCTGGAGTCTCTCCCTCCCCCATGCCCGCCCGCGGGGTCGCACCTGTCCTGGCACTAAGATGTTCTGCGCCCCGGTTCCTGCGGGTCAGCCGGGCCACGGCCGCACGTATCCGCGGGCCTGGGCTCCCCTGACTTCGCCGGCTCGGAGGGGCCAGGAGGGTGGCCGGGAGCAAAGGAAAGAGCCCTGGCCCCGCGCACAAGTTTCCATCTCGCCGCGTGTGGGCCTCGCAGCAGGGCACACCTGTCAGCTGGAGAGACTGCATACTGGGCAGCCACGCAAAGTTTCGGGGGGTGGATTGGCGGTGTGCGTCTTTGGTTGGGGGTTTTCTCCTTCCGTCGTCTGGTGGGGGTGGTCTCAGGGATCACCCCTAACCTGGTGCCCTTGAAGCCGGGTGCGCATTAAGCTCCGGGGCCGAGCTCCCTTGAATCCTTTCTGAGCAAAGGAGGGGGCGGAGGCGAGAGGCGGTCTAGGCTCCCCTCCGCTGGCTTGGGGTGACACGGCCCCCTATCTGGGCAGGGGCACTTCAGTCAAAGCCCGCACCAGCGCCTGACTGTAGGTCACCGGCTGCTGGACCTTCTTGGTCTTCAGTGGGGTAGGGGGTGCTGAGGTAGTGCCTCCAATTACTGCGTCGGGTGTGGGGCTCCCGCCCGGGAAAGGTGGGAGCCGGCGACACCGGGGATGCCGCCTTTGTCTGCAGGCACACTTTGCCAAGGTAGCTGGCGCCCTGGGGAAATGAACGGGGCCTGGTCCAACTGATTCCTTGGGTTTTCCGTTCTTTTCCGGCTGTGTCGTGGGAAACCCGCACGTGGGTGTGGCCGGCACCGGCTTCGCCAGAAGGCGAGACTCAGGCGGGGGTTAGAAGCGTGGCGAGTGCCTTCCTGGCTGCAGTAACCTGGTGGGCACCGCCTCTGGCACTGTACCGAGGCGGGGCGCCAGCGCCCAGTAGGTTGCTGGGCTGGCCTCGGCGCCCCCTGCCCTTTCCCAGGTCGCAGGTGGGCAGTGGTGCCCGCAGCACCCCCTTTAGAGGGGGATGGGGACGCTTCTGGGGCGGGTGCATGGTCTGGGGGCTCCTGGGCCGCAGGCGCGTGCCAGGAAGGCGTGCGGGCGGGCGGGGGAGACCAGGGAGGGCTGGGAGTCCTGCAGAGGAAGCACGCGGCAGGCTCCCCAAGATAGCAGGGCAGAGCTCCCGGAGGCCGCGCTTCCCGGAGAGGCGAGGCTGCTGCCAACAGCACTTTCCGAGCTGAAGCTACTGGAATGGTGCTGGTGCCTGAATCTCAGGCTAATCTAGGCAGCGTCTGCGTGTTCCCCTGGCAAGAGGGTGTTTTTGTGTTGGGGTGGGCTTCAGGGATTGGCTTCAGTAAGACCTAGAGTTGGAGCAAGCTTGGAAGTGAGACCTCATTGTCTGTAGAGCATGAGTGGTAATAACGGGATTCTCCAGATCAGGCATCCCTCAATCACCCTTCCCACTTGGGTAGTCCTTCATGGCTGGAAGTGCTTCCATTTTCAGGAAAACGATTTACCTGAGACCTGTGGAGCAAGAAACTATTAGAATCCCGTTAGGGGGGATACCAAGTCTCAGAGAACTTGGGCAAAGTCAGGCAGCCAGGAGGTGGTAGAGCCATGTGTCTCTAGCACAAGTCTTTGGTGCCTGGTCCCAAGTTCTTTTCATTAAAACACAGCTGTTTCCAAAAGGGCAGATGCTAGGAGCCCTGACTCAGTTGCAAACCAAATCTGGCAGCATTTGCAGGAGAGGCGGGGCAGGGGGATGAGCACAGAGATTTCTTGCGGGCACTAGGACCAAGTGGATGGGGCTTCTCAGGCAGCCACCCCTCCCAGCAGCTGCAGTGTGGCTGCAGTTCCCTCTGGTGCCCTGAGCACAGGGCTTCCAGGAGAGTTGTCCACACCCCAGCTCTCATCTCCCCTTCTTTCCCTTGTCTGCCTTTCCCGGTGGCTTTCCCGCCTCTCAAGTAAATGAGAAAAAGGTGAGAAAGCAGAGAACACAGGAAAACTTTCTCTTACTGATTTTGCTGTTTTGAGAAAGGGAAGCTGTTTCCTTCTTTTTTCCCCTGGCACCTCTGTATGTTTCCTGTTGTTTCTCCTCTTTTCCTTCCCCACTTTTTTCGTGGGCCTCATTGGTGTCTGTGCTTTACTGGTAAATATTCCCCTCCCTGTGGGTACAGCACAGGTAGAATCTTGGCCACTGGCTGCCTTCCTGCCTGTCCTCCCTCCTCTCCCTGGCCCCTCGTGCTCAGAGGTGCCTCAGGCTCCCTTCCCACTGATGCTTGCCCCTGAGTTTTGGGTCAGGCAGATGCCAGTTCTTCCATTCACCAGCTAGGTATCACATAGCTCTCTCTCTGGCTTTGGTTTTCTAACAATAATAAACGCTACTTTAAGTGCTCTACTCAAGTATGTAACCAATTTGACCCTCAAAGAGGCTACAAGGTGAATGCTGCCATGCACATTTTACAGATGAATTAACTAAGGGACAGTCATACAGATAGTAAGTGGCAGGGCTGGGATCTGAACTCCAGTAGTCTGACATCTTAGTCATGCTCAGTAGTGGAAATGGTTTTTATTAGTGGGTCATTTCCCCTGTTCTGGGCCAGGCTCACAGAAAATGCACCCACTCCTACTGACTGGAGATGCTGCCTCGTGCCTGACCCCACATCTCCTGTCTTCTCCTCCCAGATGCCGGTGCAGCTGACGACAGCCCTGCGTGTGGTGGGCACCAGCCTGTTTGCCCTGGCAGTGCTGGGTGGCATCCTGGCAGCTTACGTGACAGGCTACCAGTTCATCCACACAGAAAAGCACTACCTGTCTTTCGGCCTGTATGGTGCCATCCTGGGCCTGCACCTGCTCATCCAGAGCCTGTTTGCCTTCCTGGAGCACCGGCGCATGAGGCTGGCAGGCCGGCCACTGAAGCTGCCCTGCCCGCCACGGCGCTCCGTGGCACTCTGCATTGCTGCATACCAGGAGGACCCCGAATACTTGCGCAAGTGCCTGCGCTCAGCCCAGCGTATTGCCTTCCCAGACCTCAAGGTGGTCATGGTGGTGGACGGCAATCGCCAGGAGGACTCCTACATGCTGGACATCTTCCACGAGGTGCTGGGCGGCACTGAGCAAGCTGGCTTCTTTGTGTGGCGCAGCAACTTCCATGAGGCGGGTGAGGGTGAGACGGAGGCTAGCCTGCAGGAGGGCATGGACCGTGTGCGGGACGTGGTACAGGCCAGCACCTTCTCATGCATCATGCAGAAGTGGGGAGGCAAGCGAGAGGTCATGTACACGGCCTTCAAGGCCCTTGGCGATTCAGTGGACTATATTCAGGTAAGGGTGCCTCCCTGCAAGTGTGCCGATATGTCCGGCCAGCCGGGCACATCCTCCTCCAGGAGTTTCAGGTCCAGACTAGATCCCTTGTCATGTACATCCCTTCTCTGCACTTAAGAAGGCAACAGGCGTAATGGTTCTAAACAGCAGTCCTGGGGTCAAAAAGACCTAGGATGGAATCCCAGTTTTGCTGTTAGCTCTGTGACTTGGGGCAGGTCTCTGGACTTGTGTCCTAACAATAATAGCAAACACTGTATAGCATTTACTTCATACCAGGCACTGTTGTAGGCAGTTTATACATATTAGCTCCTTTAATCTTCATAACACTCCTAGAGGATAAGTACTATTATCATCTCCATTCATAGAAGGCGAACCTGAAGCACAGAGGGGCTCAGTAACTTGACCGATGTCACTCAGCGGTAAGGTGCAGAGCCAGGATTTGAGCCTAGGCAGCCTGTCTTGTGTCATTTCTTACCCACTGTACAGCACTGCCTTGCACTGGCAACATGGGGATGAGCATCTTCATAAAGAAGTGTGGGGAGAGCAAGACATCACACTTGAAAGCACTCAAATATGGTTTTGGGTATGGGCGGGCCCAAAAGTCCTACTCTTCTCAGTGTTAAATTCATGTCTGTGAGGTGGAGGGGCCCAGGTGCGAATCATCCTGCTGCCTGATTCTGCAGCAGTCTTGGCAGGGCCAGGACCCTGAACAGATCCTGCCTAGCTTTGAGTCAAAGGGAGCCTGGAAATTTTCTTAGATTGGAAAGGTTAATATAGCTCGTTTTCAAATAACAAAACCTAGAGAGAACTGATTAAAGCTTCATGCATTTCAGTACTAAGTAGAAACTGATACCCAGGACCCCAGATTTCAGGTCCAGCACCCACACTGTTCATTCCTGTTTCTGCCCTTCTCTGTACTTGCCAGAGGGTTTTGCCCATCACTTGAATGGATACTGGCTGTGGTGGTTGCCCACCTGTGTACTAACTCAAGTCTTGCTGAGTACTCCAGTATTTAATTTTTCTAGACTGTACCCACCTAAATAGTTTGCCACAGATTTTTTTGTTTTTGGCTTCCCCCCCCCCCCCCCACAAGTTGCATCCTTGCATTCGAGTCGGTGCATTTACCTTTTTTCTGTCTTCCTAGGCCCAAGGACCTCAGCCTTGTAGGGAGGGATGTGATGCAGTTGATTCTGTAGCTCACCTAGGGTCAAAGGGCCTTTGAAAATTTCCTGGGGACTCGGGCTTAGAAAAAGCCCTTGACCCCTGGCACGTGTTCAAGCCACAGTGACTTTGTCATCAACTCCCTTGCAGCACAGGATCCCCCAATCCTGCTCTGCTCTGCTGCACATCTTCCTTTCCTGATCATTTCCTGTGTGTTCTGGTGGATCAGCAATGAGGCTTACATACCTATTTTTCCTTAGGGCTCTAGGGTCACTGCCTGGGACAGCCCTGCTGGGGATTTCAGCCTGTCTTCCTACAGCCTTCATGAGGGTGTGTCTTTCGCTCTGTGGGAGATACCCAACCCTGCCCCAGGCATTGGGGAAACTCAAGCAGCCAAGAGCTCTAATTTCCCTAGCTGCTCAGCTAGAAAGACCTCCCTGGAGTGAAGGAAGCTGAACAGCATGAAGAATGGGCTGGGGTCAAGGCAAGCAGCAGCCATGAGACTAGTAGCACTGGAAAGCTTGGCTTGTAAGCTGAAGAGGCTCTGGGAGTCTGGCCCTGAGGCTCTCTGGGACCTTCCAGCCTGGGCCAGAATGTAAGACTGTGTTGGTGAGGAGGTAGGAGGGAGCAGGTATGATACTCTGCCTTGTTCCCCATCAGCCTTCTGCTGCTTGTCTCTGACCACCATGTCTTCCAACATTGAGAGCTGGGTACAGTTGGAGTGGGTTGGGGACACCCTTTTCCTGCAGGCTAATGTGCTCTCACTAAGCACCTTCAGTAAAAGGATTTTGGGCTTTTGCAGAACTGGGTGTGGGCTCATCTGTGGATACTGTTCTTTGCTTTGTCAGGGGTCAGGAAACCAATTCCCCTGCCCGATGGTTATCTGGGATCTTTGTACCATCTGAGTAATTTTCTAGAAAGCAGACAAGGAGTCAGCCACCAGCATAAGTATAAGTGTTCATAGCCCAGGTTCAGTAATGGGGGGGGGGGCTACCTGTTAGAATCAGACCATCAGACTCACTAGGCAAGGAGGGCTGGTGGGCAGGATTTGATCCAGACTTTGGAGGCAGCTGCTGCCAGAGCCTCCATGCCCATCCAGAGTATGATCCAGGCTAGAGCAGCCCTTGGCCATACTGTGCCCTGATCTGAGACTTGCCCAAGGGAGCACCAAAGGCCTGGCAGCCATGTTGGGAGAGGGGGCTATGAGTAGATAGATACATCCTCCACTTGGGCTATGGATCATCCGAGAGGCCAGAGGCTGAACAGGGTAAGACCCCGTTGTTAATATCCTATGGGACAGCTTTGGGCAGTAGCCTCTGCAAGAGCCATTTCTTGACCTTCTGAGGAGTGTTTGCTGGCCCTGGTCTAGATGTACTGTGTCTGTCATGATTTCAGTGACTTGTTCCTTTCTTCCCAAGGACCCAGAGAGACCATTTTGAGACCATTTCTCAGAAGCCTGTCCCTGTAGGGGTTTAAGACTTGTCCAGTTAAACGTTTCTCCTTTCCAGGCCCAGTGCTGACAATTTCCTGGGTCTCTTTCAGTCTGGTGACTGTCAAGACGAGTATCTGAACTCTCCTTTTCCTCACTCTCCTTTGTTATTCATCTCACCTTGGCATGGATCTCTTTCCTAGTGGTTGGAATGAATCATATAAGGGAGTTCTATTCCTCAGGCAGTGGGGGGCGGGGGGTGGGGTGGGGTCGTGGGTAGGTCAGAATGTGCTGACAGTGGATTCCCTCTACAGGTGTGTGACTCTGACACTGTACTGGATCCAGCCTGCACCATCGAGATGCTTCGAGTCCTAGAGGAGGACCCCCAAGTAGGGGGAGTTGGGGGAGATGTCCAAGTAAGGAGTAACAAAGATGCCTGGGGGTGGGGGTCTGGACTTTCTGCTTCCTAGTTCAATTAGATCTGCCTGGGAAATGGGCATCTTGACTTCCTCGTGTTTGGGGGGAAGGGGGCGGTGTTCCTCTTTGACAATTTCACTGGTATCAAAGGGCTTGTTACCCAAACCCTTTACTGCCCTTTTTCAACATGAAGGGGAAAAAATTAGTTAACAGGTATGTAGAGAGCCTGTGCTGCTCGGAGGGGCACAGTATTCTGAGGCCATTAATCCTGAAGGGTGCTTCCTTTACGACTGACAGTGCAGCGAGCACCTCCAAAGTTAGACCCTTGAGAAGCCCTTGCTCTTAGGTAAGTTGTGCTCAAGAGCTCTGGGCAGTGTGGTCAGAATAAGGGGCCATATCTCCTTCCAGAGGGTACTACTGGCAACATACCATGTCTTCCCAAGCAGCTTTCCAACTGAAGGGTCAGGACAAGTGGCTGGGTTGTTGCTTTGCATCTTTCTCAAGGCATTCTCTCTGCCACTGCCATAGGCTGCCCTGAGACTGCTAGACTAACTTCACTGGGACAATCAATGCAGATGACACAGTGGAGAGTGGGGCTCGTGCTGGGGAGAGGGACTGAGTGTGGTTGGCTCCTCTGAGCCTCAGGTTTCCCAGCTCTGGCTGAGCAAGTTCTGATGGTCAGGAATTTGAGCAATGGGCTACAGAATTCAGGGTAGGGAGACCTCGCAGTCTCCGGTGTCTGTCTCCTGGGGCTCATGGCCACAGGTGAGGAGGCCCAGCATCTATGGTTCCCTTACAGATACTCAACAAATATGATTCATGGATCTCCTTCCTGAGCAGTGTGCGGTACTGGATGGCCTTCAACGTGGAGCGGGCCTGCCAGTCCTACTTCGGCTGTGTGCAGTGTATTAGTGGGCCCTTGGGCATGTACCGCAACAGCCTCCTGCAGCAATTCCTTGAAGATTGGTACCATCAGAAGTTCCTAGGCAGCAAGTGCAGCTTTGGGGATGACCGGCACCTCACCAACCGAGTCCTGAGCCTCGGCTACAGGACTAAGTATACAGCACGCTCCAAGTGCCTCACAGAGACCCCCACCAAGTACCTTCGGTGGCTCAACCAGCAGACCCGCTGGAGCAAGTCTTACTTTCGGGAGTGGCTTTACAACTCTCTGTGGTTCCACAAGCATCACCTCTGGATGACCTACGAATCAGTTGTCACAGGGTTCTTCCCCTTCTTCCTCATTGCCACAGTCATACAGCTTTTCTACCGTGGCCGCATCTGGAACATTCTCCTCTTCCTGCTGACAGTGCAGCTAGTGGGCATCATCAAGGCCACCTACGCCTGCTTCCTTCGGGGCAATGCAGAGATGATCTTCATGTCCCTCTATTCCTTGCTCTATATGTCCAGCCTCCTGCCAGCCAAGATCTTCGCCATTGCTACCATCAACAAGTCTGGCTGGGGCACCTCTGGGAGAAAAACCATTGTGGTGAACTTCATTGGCCTCATCCCTGTGTCCATCTGGGTGGCAGTCCTCCTGGGGGGACTTGCGTACACAGCTTATTGCCAGGATCTGTTCAGTGAGACGGAGCTAGCCTTCCTTGTCTCTGGGGCCATCCTGTATGGCTGCTACTGGGTGGCCCTCCTCATGTTGTATCTGGCCATTATCGCCCGGCGATGTGGGAAGAAGCCAGAGCAGTATAGCTTAGCTTTTGCTGAGGTGTGACGTACCCTCCAGCAGAGCGGGAAAAGTGCAATGGGTTGAGGGAGGGAAGGGGAATGGAAGAGAGAAGATGGGTGGGAGGGAGGAGGGAATGCTGTTTTAGTTTAATGGTCCAAAGGACAAATGTGAAGTGCAAAGAACGGTGACTGTATATGGCCTGGGGCAGTTCTGCTTAGAGAAGGCAACACTGATTCCAGCTCAGGGGGCTGGAGGAGACATATTTTCAGGCTGTCTGCTGTATGGTGGCCTCTGGGGAAGATTCCACTTCCTGCCCCGGGATCCAGAGGGAACTCAGAAGTGTGCTAAACCAAACAATAAGTCCATTCAGTGGCAACTTCTGATAGGTTAAGTGAGCAATGCCAGCTTGTGGGAAGGGGTTCTCTTAGCCCATCTGAGTGCAACCAGAGGTGGTGGGAGAATTCGAGAGATCTGGGCCAGCTAGTACTGTATCCCCCCTCAATCCAATTATCAATGCAATAAGATTGTGCCTGAGATACAAGGCCCAGAAGCCTGATCTCTGGGCATCAGAAAACAGGGTCCAGGAATGGTGCTTTATTATGTGGTGTACCCCATTCCACATCTCCACATCCCAAGGATAAGCCAAACTAGCAGGGAGTTAGCACTGAACTGCTTTTAAGTGTGTATATATGTTAAAAAGGAGTTTGCCACAAGGAACAAAGATTGGTGGTAGTGCTAAAGGCCATGGGCTCTATGGAGGCTTTAGGCTCAATGTATTCCACCAGGAAATTGCTCAGACATCTAGATTAGCCTGTCTGTGATCTCTGCTGGGAAGATAAATGTTTTGGTCATCTACTAGAAAGATTAAATCTCAACACGCTTAGAAGGGAAGTGAAGACTTGGGTATTTCAACTTGTACACTCCTAAATTCCTCTTTCAAATTCAGTGCTGAGTCCTAAGTTAGCCTCCTCATTTGGCTTTCTTTAAGGTGATTTAGTCACATCTTCCGCCCTTCACCTCATCGGGTAAGTTTTTCAAGGTGGCAAGTGAGGCAGAGCCTGGACTCTCGATCACAAGGTACCTCTGTAATAGGCAAGCCTGCCCTCAGCATATGGGGGAAAAACTATTAAGAGCCTCTGACCAAGGCTACCATCTTGGAACTGCTTAGGACAAATTCCTTGGCAGCTGGGTAGCATGCCAAGCTACAATCCTTGACAGTCTAATGGGAAGTTTTCAGTGTTCCCTAAGTGAACCCTGAAATCCAAGCTGGTCATCTTTGAGACTGTCCATTCTTCTCAGTGGCTTCTTAAAGGAATTCTTACAGCCAAGCTGTGAACAGTCACTACTGGACTTGCTTGCTTCTTTCCAGAAACCAAACTAGAAGATGGAATTGGTTCCTAAATCCTAAGGTTCCTGCTTTCTCTCAGGCCTGTTGGGGCTGTTTTATTTCCCTCTGCTTTTGGTGGGGAACAAGTGGAGGACATTTTCTAGGTATCTGTAATCCATAGACTGTTCTCAGCTCTTGGGTTTGAAACCTGGGACCTTGACTAAGCCCCTGACTTAAGGGGTGCTTGCTCGTGCGTGCTCTCTTTCCAAACGTCCCTTCTCAAGAGGAGGTCCAGCTAACCCCTCAGAACCAGCACTAAGGTAGAGGAGTTGAGGGGCAAGCCTCTAGTATGCCCAGGTGCTTCCTACAAAGGAACACAGTGTGCTCTGAGCCACAGATTGGTAAACTCTGGTGCTTTCATTTCCTTCATCTCCCATGAACTCAAGGGTTTTCCAAGTGCGGCTAACATTGCTGCATCCCGCAGACCTCGAGCTCCTGATAAGACTGCTGGTTGATGTCGGGCCGAATCCATGAAGGCTGGGAAGAGCAGCTGACATTTATAAAGGCGGTTGTCCCACACTTCTGTGTTTTTGCTGGCCAAGTAGTAAACTAGTGTGAGCACTACACTGGAAGAAATTCGGTCAGCCAACCGCAGAGCTCAGACCTCACTAAGGGCTTGTTTTTCTTCAGCTGTTACTTGAAAGTTAATACAGGATGGACTCCCAGATGGAAAACTCATGGCTGTCCTACCATCAGCTCTGCCTTGCACTGTGGTTATCATCTTTCCTCAGATCAAGAGCAGGCAGGTACAAGTAGTGGGCTCACAACGTTTGACCTCGACTGGTTTTTGTAAGTTATTTTGTACATTTTTCAGCAATGAAACCAAACTGGGTCTTCAGCTTTATCCCCGTTTCTTGCAAGGGAAGAGCCTTTATAAAATTGGACACATTTTGGTTTTTCCTCATTGAGAATTTTAACTGTCTTTTGTATTATTTCTATGATAATTTGTAAACATATTTATTTTTACCTGCTTTTTCTTTTTTAACTTTTCAGGTCAAATTTTTTATACTGCACTTATTTGTCAAAATAAAGATTCTCACACAGTGCTGGTATCTCTGAGCTACTTCCTCCCTCTTTGTACTTAATGAAAGCTAGCTCTTTATTCCAGTTTCAAAAGCAGCACTTGAGTAGAAATAGTTTTGTTAAGGGAATTCCAGTGGAACTCAGAAGCAGGAGAAGTTGTCACACCTGCCTCTGGACCTGGGGAATACAGCAGGCCTACTTTGATGATAACTGCAGACCTATGGTAGCTTGGCTTTTATTGTAGTGGGTGGTCAGGGTCTTTGGTGAAATTACTGTCAGATGAATGAGCTAATGCTAAAAATCAAATCTTGCTTCCTCCTTGAGTGAAAGCATTTTATCTGACAGATAATGTAGGATTGTGGTCAAGATGAAACAATGAAAAGCAGTGGGTAAACTTCCTTCTCTGTGGAACAGGTAACAAAATGGAGTGACATCAGCAGCCCTCTCATCCCATTTATTAAAGAAACAGTAAGAAAAGATACAATGCAGGAAAAACACCAACCATCCTTTCACATCAGGCTGAATGAAGCACAGTGATTTCTCCCTTCACTCCCCCCACCCCCGCCCCAATTCCCGTCCACATCAGTTTAAATTTTGACGTTCTTTGATTGGGAGTCAGTGGAGAGGGAGTTGGATGAGCAGTAGAACCTTGATTCTGGCCTCCTCTTAAGTCCCGGAAAAGGAAGCTGCAGGACCAGTCAAGCGGAAATTGTATATGGTGGGTCTTTGAAGTGGCTGCCCACCTCCCTGTTCTGTGTTCAACCCCCTAGGGAAAGGTATGGCAGTAGAGGATGACCAGGTCCAAGCTGCCCAGGTCACATCTGCTGAAGCATGGTCTGTTTACCAATGCAACATTTCTAGAGAGCAGTGAGCTGATTCTCCAGTGGTGAGCAGGGGACTACATATGAATTGGGACCTGCAGGCCAATGTATCCCTGAGGAAAAGTCCACAAGAACAATTCAAGAAACTAGTAAGAAACAAGGGGCAAAAAGCTGTGGGGCAAGCATGGGCGGCTTCTGGAAGGCTGGAGATCCTTTCTCTCAAGGCCAGGATCATTCCCACCTGCCGTAGTCCATGTCCCACAAAAAACATTTCACCTTCAATCAAGAAAGAAGCAGAGGAAAAAGATGGCTCATTTGAACTTGAGCCCCAGCTATGTACTTCAGACCATAGCTCCATATCTACCCTTTTACCTAAAACACAGCCTCTGCTCAGAACCACAGTGCCTGGAAACCAAAGTGGTCCTGGAGAGAAAATGCTGTTTAAGGGGGTAACATTCCATTTGGGTACATTGCAGCCATTGGACCCCCTGGTCTGGGGAAAGCAGCTGGATTTGTGCCAGGGAGGCTCCCCATTCTAGGAAATGGGACCAAAGTCTTGCCTACAGGGCCATTCATCCTTGGTAAGGAAGCTGGGTTTAGACCCAGGGTCCCAGTTGGCCTTGCAAAAGGAGCTGGGTTGATCCCCACAGGGCCTGCTGGGGAAGAGCCAAGGGGCCCAGGAGCTGACCTGGGGAAAGTAACCTGACCAGGGCCTAATGGGCCAGTAGACCTTGGGAAGGTAGCTGGATTTGGACCCTGTAAGCCAGTGGCCCTTGGGAAGTTAGCTGGGTTGGATCCTAACGGTCCAGAGGCTCTTGGGAAAATTGCTGAATTTGAGCCCTGGAGGCCTACAGACCTCTGGAAAGTAGTTGGGTTTGAAGCCAAAGTACCAGAAGACTGAGAGAAGGCAGATGGGTTCAGTCCGCCTGAACCTGTCCCCCTTGGAAAGGGATTCGTATTTACCCCCATGGGGCCAGTTGGCCGTGGAAAATGAGCTGAATTAGGGCCTATGGGGCCAGGAGCCCTAGACATGGAAGATGGACTTGGCCCAGGAAGGCTAATTACTCGAGAGCCAGAACTCGAGTTTGGGCCTATGGGGCCAGGTATTCTTGCCATGGAAGATGGGCTTGTGCCCATGTTTCCAGAAGCCTGTGAGAAAGAAGCTGAATTTGCTCCTAAAAGACCTGCTGCTCTTAGAATGGGGGCAAGATCTAGGCCTTGAGGTCCAGCCATCCTTAGGTTAAGACCAGATCCTGTGCCCAAGAGGCCACCTGCTCTGGTGTCCAGATTAGGGCCTGGGCCCAGGCCACCTGCCCTTGGGTTGGGCCCAAGGCTTGGGCCCAGGCCACCTGCCCTTGGGTTGGGCCCAAGGCTGGGGCCTGCAAACATACCTGACCTCGGGGCAGGGTTTGTACCTATGAAGCCTGATCTCAGATTGGGACTTGGTCCAGGGCCCAGGCCAACAGGTCTAGTATTGGGAGGACCATTCCCAGAAGGCAACAAGACACCTGCTCTCAGGTTGGGTCCTGATCCAGGGCCTAAGGGGCCACCACCTCTGGTGTCAGGACTTGTTCCTAGGAGACCACCTGCCCTTGAGTTGGACATAGGACCAGGCCCTGGGATACCCCCTAATCTTGGGTTAGACAGAGGCCCTGGACCTGGAAGGGCCCCTGCTCTAGGGTTTAGAGCTGGCCCTGGGCCTGGGCCCAAGAGGCCACCTGGCCTTGGAAAAGAAACTGCACCTGTGCCAGTGGGATTCATCCCCCTTGGAAAAGAAGCCATACTTGGATCACGAGCACCAGCAGGGAAAGGTGCTGGATTTGAAGCCAATGAGCCTGATGAAGTTGGAAAAGGAGATGGGTTCCTTGGAAACGGGGCCAGATTTCCACCAAGAGAACCGGTTGCCATAAGGAAGGAATCCGAGTTCATGCTCAGTGGGTGGCCTGTGTTTAGAACAGGACCCCCCTGTGGTCCCAGAGAACCGTCGAGCCGTCCTCGAGGTGGCAGTGGAGCACGAGTCCAAGGAGTTGGCCGCTCTCTAGGGAAAATCCGGGGTTCTTTCATACTTTCTTGGGGACGTTGGTGATAATGGGCTTGGGGCGAGTTTTGAAAAGGATCTTGTTTTTGATGAGTGCTGTCACCAAGTACCGGGTGCCAGTCTCGCAGCCAAGCTCATCACAGTCCTGCTCCCCAGGAGTGTGTTTGACAAGGACTGCAAAAGGTTTCTCCAGGTGGATGATTTTCCCATACAGGATGTGATGCCCCACGATCAGCACAGGGATTCCCTTTGGCAGAACAAGAATAAGACGCCTGAGGTTCAGGACAAGGTGATAAACACTCAGGTACTTCCTAGAGATGCTCTTGGCAGGCAATGCTGGCACCTGCACTACCTAGTCTGATTCTACCATTGCTGAGCAGCCACTGTGGACATCCCACCCTCGTGTCCTTTTTTGCCCAGGTAAGAGAATTTTCACTTTTAGAACTGTGACCTTTTGACATCCCCAAAGCTAAACTTCCTTGCTACTACAGACGTGGGGGGAGAACAAACAGCTTAGCAGGTTAGCTAGACCTTGATAACAAACCTGAGGGTAGTCCTCACTCTGGGTCCTGGGAGCACCACCTTGGTGTAGCTTGCTTTCCTGAGGCATTAGGCAGGGAAAAAAAAGCCCCCTCACCTCAGTGGTGTAATGTAGGTCTCCCAGGAGGTTTCCAGCTAATCCAGTGCTGTAGCGAGCCTCGATCTCCCCCTGTAGCTCCATCAGCACCCATTCTGCCAGGCCTCCAGCCCCAGCACTGCAAGCAAAGGGCTGGCGGTTACAATATTTTTGAGGGGTGATGGATGAATAGTGTCCTACACCACAATTTAAGGCCCAAAGGAACTCTGTTGAGCACAAGTTCTTGGGAAATTGGGCAGTGCTACGCACTGAATTAGAGATTAAAATGCAAAGATTTGTGCAAGATGCACCTGAGGACCCTGTTTCTTCCAAGAAAATATAAAACCTATATAGCCCTCATCATTCAAGCTAAATAAAGTCTCAAAATGTACTCACCTGGAAACAACAATTTGTACCATGAGCCTTCCGTCTTTAAAAAGCAACTGAAAATAAGCTGTAGAGGAAAAAAAAAGGTTTAGGGTAATAATAATGATAGCTAATGTTTACCACTTACTGTGTGCTGCACACTTTTCTAAGTGCTTTAGATACATTATATTTCATTCCTCTAAACAACTCTATAAACTTTTAAAAACTGATGTATACATAAAATTGCTTAAGATCACCAAGGGTCAACTACAGTGTGACCAATTAACAGGTATCACAACTGGGTTCAAGGTCACATAGCTACTAAAGAACCAGGATTTGAACCCAAGGCATATACTGCACAGCCCAGGCTCCTGACCACTATGCTAACTTGCCTTTTTCAAGGACATTATTCTATTTTCCATTCTACATATTTCTTAAAAAACTGAGGAATTCTTTTAGATTTTACTTTTTTCTTTGGTGATATAAATTTCATATCTATCGTTTTGGTTATCTGATATTTCAAGGTTCGAAGGACCTCCTTTAACTAAAGCCAAGAAAACTGAAAAGTCCTTCAGACTAGTAAATGGGAGTCTGTTTTCCGATGTGACTCCCATCAAACACCTTGACACTTAATCAACTTTCATTTTGTACAACAGCACCACCTGGTGGCAAGTTTGTGGTACTCTTCAAGAATGGGTTAAAATGGGACATTTTTGACTGACTGGCTTCACTTGTACTGGTCTTTCTGGGAAGGATACATTCATGGGGATTGAGGGTATGGGGGATCTAAGTACAGCTTCTGTGTCTTTCCAGTGAATAGATGGAGCTTAGTGGAAGGTTATTAATCTAGTGTTTACCAACTGTACAGCAAGTCAATAGATATTTGTAATTTTGCTCAAGCTTAGCAAATGCCTGATTAAAAAGTTAAACAGCTTTACTGATCTGTTAATCTTCATTTTGGATCTCCAGGGAAAAATATATTGTGAACAGCCTTATAGGACAGCAGAATCTCTACTCTTGACACTAAACACTCTTTGGGAACGTGAGGTTGGTCAAGTCACTGGACTTCAAATATAAATGGCAGCTAATATTTATTGAATTTTTACTATGAATCACATGCTGTGCACATATATGGGTGGTATCTCAATCACTGTGACAACTCTACG